GCGGGGGGGGGGGGTGTGTGTGTGTGTCCCTCAGCCCAGTCTGTACCCTCTCCAATCTGTGACCCCTGTGGGATTGGGCCTAAACAGGCAGTCGGACATCCCTCTCACAATCCGGGACCACTGGCTCCTTAACCACTCACCTGCCTGCCAGCCTGATCACCCCCTAACTGCTCCCCTGATGGCCTGATTGCCCCCAACTGCCCCCAAGGCTTTTATTAGAGAGAGAGTGTGTGTGTGTGTGTGTGTGTGTATCTTTCTAGCCCAGAGCCCAGGACACATAGTTTCCCAATAAATGCTAATTGAGAGGATAAGACAATACACATGCAGACATGATGTCAGCATCTAATCCCAGTTGCATACCCATGTGACTTTGAACAAACAACTCAGTGGAACTCATCTTTAAGGAATGAGTAGAATTTTCATCTCTCCACCTCCAGGAAGTGTTTTCTGATTGCCCCAGCCCTCAGTGTTCTCTCCTTCTGAGTTTCAGAAGCACTTGCCCTAGCACAAGCCAGTTGGGTTGTTTATCAGGCAGCTTAGGGCAGGAAGCAAATCTATACTGTGCTTTTGCCTGCACTTTACATCACATACTAAAAACAGATGGCCATCTAGTATCCCCCAATGGTGATGATGATGATCAACAACTATCATTTGAATTTAAATACAACTGACTCTTATAATAAATCTAAGACACCGTCTAATTGAGAAGGGTCATACATTCAAATGCCTAACAGTGCCAGATGGGTACCTTGCACCAGGTAAGCCTGGTACGACAGTAGGGAATAGTGATGTCTATTGCAAACTAGACCCGACACCTTCGCCAGGCTACCTTTAAGGCCATCCCCCTAACCCTGAGTCACACTGGAGGACCCAAAAAGGTTGGTGAATCAGATAGGTCAGTGGTCGGCAAACTGCGGCTCGCAAGCCACATGCGGCTCTTTGGCCCCTTGAGTGTGGCTCTTCCACAAAATACCGGCTCTTCCACAAAATACCGACTTTTGCGCATGGGCCACGAAGTTTCAATCGCACTGTATGTGCGCGCCCACATGTGGTATTCTGTGGAAGAGCCACACCCAAGGGGCCAAAGAGCTGCATGTGGCTCGAGAGCCGCAGTCTGCCGACCGCGGAGATAGATGAAAACAAAAAACCTGGGTCTTCTAACTCCTAAACCAGGTCTTCCTCCAATACCATGCTCCCTCCTCTCCCCATCTCTAATATTTATCATCAATAATCACAAACATGTACAGAGCACCTACTAGGTATTGGGTGTAAAATGAAGAGGAAATGCAGGAAATAGCTCTGAATTGTGATTCTGAGGAGGAAGAGCTTTCTAAGAAACATCAGAGACAATCCTGGCTTCTCAGCAGAGGGGAAAGAGAAGGAAATCTCCAATCTGCCCAGGGTCTGTGCTAACCTTCCTGGGATCCTCTAGGTCGGCATTCGCCAACCTTTCAGACCTCATGGACCACTGGTTGGTGCCGGCTGCTCTAGGCTGATTACTTTGACAATATGCCTGCAATTCTTATAGCTGCCACCAGGTAGGAGAGGCCGGTGGTACCTTAGGCCATAGAATAATCCCTTGATGAAAACCAGTCAGATTAAAAACCTCACCCCTGCTGGCAGGCTCAGACACCCTTTAGTATGGGTCAGAGAATGGACCTCGAAGCAGGAACAGGAGCAACCTGTAAGTCAGTGAGTCAGAGCAAGTCATAGGAGGAGGGGCCCCTTAAATTCCAGAGGATGCTCTGGGTACAGCAGATGTGCCCTAGCCCCCCAAGAGGTTCCTGTTGCCTCAAATCATGAACCTTGCTAACTGCCTAGGAAAGCACCCTCCCTTCACCTAAAACTACCCCAGCCTCCAAGGGAGAATTCCTTCATAAAGTTCAGCTGACAATCTCTCTCTCCCAGGTCAGATGACAAAGGTCTGTCCCTCTTTGGCACAGGCAGGGCTGTGAGATGGGAGGGTGGCAAGGCCACATGAGTATAAGACCCAAGATGGAGTACGAGGGCTCCAAAACGAGGGTAGAATAAACTTGGGATGACAGGAGTCTAGAGTGTGTCCCCTAAAGGGCTCCTACAAGGTTGTCCAGCTTCCTTGACTACTCCTTTCAGCCCCAAACCTAACACCAAAAAAATAATAAAATAATAAAATTATTATTTATTTAGCATGTAACAGGAGCTCAGAGAGAAAGGAGGATTGGGGCGGAACAAATAAAGCTGCTCCTCTTCTTTTGTTTTAAACTGTTAAGCACTTCTCACACAACGCCTTACCAATAGGTATTAAACAGGTACAGTGCGTTAGGATATAAGAACTGAATGCCGGAAAAAATAGGTGCCCTGCTCTATGAGAACTGGCAACACAGCCCTGCTGTGCCTATAACCGCATTTCACCTGGATAAAAGGCTGGGAGAGGGCTGATTTTTGCTCGACCTGACAGCAGCCCCCTGCCACAGCTCCCGCCCCCACCAGTGAGACCGCTACCTTATCTGAGCAAAGAGCTGCTGCGACACCCCGTCCACACCAGCTGCTCCTATATTTAGTTACTGGTGTGGTCACCAGGGAACTTTAGAGCCTGGCGTCGCTCGGAAGGGCAACCCGAGCCTCCTGCACCACGTGTGCAAGCTCCCCCACCGCTGGCTCCAGCGGGCCTCCTGGACCACGCCAATGGGGGAGCCGATGCGGAGGGGAGAGCCGGCGGGCTGGATCGGACCCAAGCATCCTAGAAGGCCCACTCGAGGCCAGGACAGAGTTGATCCAGTTTTGCACCCAAGGGAAAGGAGCCCGCTGGGGCGTGCGCAGGCCCGGCTGGCGCCTTGTTTTTGAGCCACGGGGTTCGCAGGGTCCGCGCGTACTTCCTTCCCTATAGGCATCTAAGCATCCTCGGGCGGTGCCTCCCAGGGTCCCCGCGTCT